AAAAGCAATGTTGGGTCCAACAGGTATGAGAATGACCAAAGAATAGCAAGAAAATAAAGGGAGTATTCAGAAGCCAGGATGAGAATGGAGGGAATTTTGCTGATAACTGAAGGTGAGTTCCTTAAGGCCTGGTCAAAGGATTTCAGGATGGAAATAGAAAATAAGATGTCCAGGGCTGTATGGAGATGTAACCAGGAGATCTGTGGGCTTCTTGTGGTGACTAACATTATATAAGGGGCCATTAAAAAGTGGTTTTTAATCTAAGTTGCTGCCCACTTTGGGTGTCTTTACCTGTTTAACAGAGTAGACTGGGGAGCAAAGAGAGCTCTCTCCTAAATGAGACCAGAAGTAACCCAAAGCCAGGCTCCATTTTTCACCCACAGCACAGGTCGGAGCCCCGGGCTAAGCTCATGTCCTCGGGCCAAACTTATTGCTATGAACTATGCACCTCTAGCCTCTTTAGGGTTAAGAAAGAAGCAGGTAAAAAGAGGAAAAACAGTAACAGAAAGACAAGCATTCATAAAGATCCAATGGAGGAAAGGTCAGAGACAGAAAAGACAGAGATCAAGAGAGACAATATGCTTTTAAATCAAGATAGTCATTATTTATTGAAAATTTTCTAAGGACTGGGTGCTGGGCAAAGTAACGCACATGCATTGTCTCAGGTACAGATTATCACGTCCCCATTTGACAGATGAGGAAACTGAGGCCCAGGTGGGTGAAGGAGATGGCTCAAAGTCTCATAGCTGGTTTAAACTGGTCAGGTCAGCATCTTATGTCTACTATGTCTCAAAAAGGGAGACAGACAGAAAGAGACAGAAATGGGAGAGAATATGCAGACAGACACGAACACAAACGATCATGTGAGCGGCAGGCCCGCAAGGAATCATTTCGAAAGACACTGAGGGTAGCAGGTGGGGCCGCGGAGGACAGCAACCGGCACCGAGTGTTCTGCAGGGTACTCACTTGGTTGCCGGCTGAGAGCCGCAGGACTACTCGGCCACTCTTTGCTACCCGCACGATCCTCCGCAACCAGTTGACCTAGGGTTTAGAGGCCGCCCAGTTAAAAGCTTGCGCAGGCCCCACCCCTCGCGCGCTATGGCCGGCCACTTCCCGCTGCTACTTCCCCCAACCGCCAGAATGGCAGGATGAGAATAAACAGAATTTTGCTGATAACCGAAGGTGAGTTCCTTAAGGCCTGGTCAAAGGAGCTCAGGATGGAAACAGAAAATAAGACGTCCAGGGCTTCTTACCTTACACCTCCGGCCATCAGCGTCGGCGCAAACGCTCCCGGCGCAGGCGCCGCCGCCGCCGCCGCCGACGCTCCCGGCGCAGGCGCCGCCGCCGCGCGAGCGCATTGATACGAGGGGCTTGCAGCATTAACTGGAAGATACACTGAACGCGACCTTTCCGCGGGCTGGAGCGCGAGCGGGGGAACGGGCCTACGCCGCTACGGACGGCTCCCCGGCTCCCATTGGAGGATTGCCCTTCTGCCTTTCCTGGGATTGGCTGGGGACGGAAGCACTTTATTTTTGTCCCCGAGGCTTAGATCCAAACTGAGGAAAACTCTGCCCCTTCGGGGGACTTTGGTTGGTTTAAGAGCCAAGCCCACCCTTTAACAGGATTGGCCAGGAAAGGAGTTCTTGTCTTTGGCCGTTTCCGGTCTATTTGACAGGGTTGGTGGGGGCCTAGTTGGGAATACGCAGGGCGAGTCACGGAACAATCGAGATGCTTGGCTTCTTTGACGTCTTACTCTCCATAAGCCACCTTGCAATGCCTCCGCTCTGCTAAGAGACGCGATTAGCACCCAGTTTCCTATGGCTCCACACCCACCTGCAGGGATCCCTAAGCCAGTTTTCTCTCGCTCAAAATGAGCAGAGTTCCTAATTCCACATGCATGGAGGATGAAGTGGTTATAGGGATGTGGCGCGTCACCCACCGGTCCCTGATACTGAGACATTGGTCAAGTGACAACCTTGCTAGGCGCCTCAGTTTAACCATCTGGAAATGGAAAGGTGTTTTGAAATTTTCCTCAGAGTGTGTGAGGATAAAATGAGAGGGCATATGTAAATCAGTTGCCTGGGGGATAAATAATTAAGTTCTCTCCTCCCAGTTCATTCCCAGTGCTCAGGCGGACAAAACTTTCGACCCAGAGAGGCAAACTAACTTATTTGAAGTCACACAGCAGGCCCCACCCCTCACGCGCTCTGGCCCTGTCTCTTCCCATTGTCACTCCCCCCTCAACGACCAGTCTTTAAGGCGTCTCACCATACACCGCCAGCAGTCGGCGCAATAAGACCCAGAATAAAACCCAGGCCTTTCGTCTTCCAAAGGAAAGCTGTTTAGGAAGGAAGGAGAGAAGGGAAGGACCCTCCGATTTGCAAGTTCTTAACTTGGATTCTACAGACCTCTAATCGAGTCTGGGGACAGGGTTTGGAGAGGTCCTTGAATTTGAATGGGAACAAATTTACATCTTTATTTTCCCTCTCCTCTAACGGAAATTTAGCATTTTTTCAATAAAGAATGTAACTAGCCATAGTAGCAGTAGTAGTAACAGTACTGATTGTCACTGATAGAAATCAGAGATTTTCATATCACATTATAGATGTTGCAGATCTCTTGAAAATCATAATCTCTATTATTTAAAAATGAGAGTCATTAGACTCTCCATGAAATCTTATGATTAATGGATGAATGGGGAGTACATATACAATTATACTATAGTACATATTTGCTTTTTCCATATTTTAATAACTATATTTCAATATAACCAATTTCTTTTGTAATCTAGATATTTTATTCTATGAATTTAAACGATTTTTTTTTCTGTGAAAAGGTCCAGCTGGGCGCAGTGGCTCACGCCTGTAATCCCAGCACTTTGGGAGATGGAGGTGGGCAAATCACCTGAGGTCAGGAGTTCCAGACCAGCCTGGCCAACATGGTGAAACCCTGTCTCTACTAAAAATACAAAAATTAGCCTGGTGTGGTGGCAGGTGCCTGTAATCCCAGTTACTTGGGAGGCTGAGGCAGGAGAATCACTTGAACCCAGGAGGTGGAGGTTGTAGTGAGCCAAGACCGCCCCATTGCACTCCAGCCTGGATGACAAGAGCAAGACTCCATGGAAAGAAAGAAAGAGAAAGAAAGGAAGGAAGGAAGGAAGGAAGGAAGGAAGGAAGGAAGAAAAGGTCCATAGGCTTCACTAGATCACCAAAGGGGTCCATGGCACAAAAAATATTAATATTTGTCTTGAACCCTAGGCTCCAGGAGGACAAAGACTTGCCCTATCTTGTTTCGTTGCTGTATCCCTTTCACCCAGTGCAGTAGCTCAGGCACACAGTAGGTACTCATAAGTGTTTACTGAATGAATAATAGGATTCCTTCCCAAACATTCTGCACACCCCCAATTGGGGGAGCCAGTGCTGGCCCTTTGGATCACCTAAGAGGGAAGGACATTCTTGAATCTGGTTTTGTCCCTGCCAATCTGATTCTGCTCACAGAAGTCGATGGCAATTTAAAGGTCTGGTCTCGGGAAATCCCAGGAACCTCCCACCCAGGAGCAGGGCCCTCTGCTGCAAAGGAGTGAGGGTAAGCTAGGAAGAATATGAAGACAAGTAGTTTCAACATGGGAATAGGCCCTAGGGCACATTTGGCCCATGACTCTTTATCCTCCTGGTTTCTGTTTAAGGTCTTAGTCAGTAGGTCTTGTTTTCTCTGGCCTTCAGCGAAGACAAAATCTTGGAGCTAGATGTGACCTTAAAGACCTAGAACAGCCCTCCCTTTCAGAGGTCCAGACTGAAGAGTGAGGGCACAGGGAACAAGATATTACTCTGGGCAAAGAACATCCTGTCCTCCCATGCCTCAGCCAAGGACATGAGCACCCTGGCCAACTATATTAGACTCCTACGATTGACTCTTAAGAGCATCCCTGAAGAAGAAGACCAGAGGCCCTCTCTAACAGGGTGGGTGAAGAAGAGTCTCAAATGCCAGGATGAGGGGCTGGGGATTTAATTGGGGAGACAGAGAGGAACCAGGGAAGAGCACAATGAAAGCCAGACTTCAGAGACCCACTTCGAGGCTAGACTCTGTCTTGAGAATTTAGGCAGGTTGCTTCTCCTGGACTGATCCCTTAGCATGATAAGCCTCAGTTTATAGAGGGAAAACTGAGGCCCTCTAGAGAGGACAAGAAGAGTCATGTTGTGAGGTAGGGCCAACTGAGGCAAGAGTAACCAGGCTGGCTACTCTGGCTCTGATTGGCTAGGATCCTTTGGCAGGTTGACCTCTTCCTGGCCTACTCCAATGTCTTTGCCCCTGTTGCTTTCCCCTCCCCTCCTCTTCACCGCATACTCATTGGGGTTGGCTCCAGATATTGCATGCAGAAGTCTCTTTTCTCTACACAAGATGCCTTGACTTAAGATCCTGCACTTTCAGCTCTGGCCTTGAGGTATTGCATTACTTTGCGCAAGACATTCCCCTTTCTGAGCCTTAGTCCTCCCTACCCACCTCTGACAGAGCATCAAAACCTCCATCCTGTCCCCAAAACATTTATCAGAATCATGGAGAGATGTGTCCAGGATCTGGTATTCCAACCATCTCACAGAGGAGACCCAGAGAGGGAAGGGGCCTTGCCAAAGGTCTCACACCAACCTGGCAGTCATCTTAACTCCTCTCCTTCCATATCTAAAGCCTGTCGAGGCTTGAAACATCTTGAAAGCTCTCATAGAATAGACAAATTGCTCATGTGGAAGAATTCCAACTAATTTATATCCATACTTCCTTCTTAAGGAAATGGAGCATAACTCCTCATTCCCTAAGCATGGGCTGCGCTTAGTTGGCTTCCTTCCAAAGAGTACAGCATGGAAAAAGGGAAAGAGGAGTAGCTTTACAGTGGAGAAACCTGATGGACACTGCCTCCTCCAGGTGATCAAAGTTAACATTCACAGTGATAAATCATATTGATAGTACATGCCCTTGATATGATCTTGTGAAAATGGCATTTGACTTCTGTGGTCTTCCTTCCCCAAACCATATTCCCAGTTAGTCATGAAAGAAAACATCAGACTAATCATGATTAAGGGACATTCTATAAAATACCTGACCAGTACTCCTCAAATGACTCCAGGTCATCAAAAAAAGAGGAAAGCCTGAGAAAGTGTCATAGCCAAGAAGAGCTTAAGGAGACAAGATGACTAAATGTAGTATGCTATTCTGGATGGAATCTTGGAGCAGAAAAAGGACATTAAGTTAAAACTAAGGAAATCGGAATAAAGTATGGACCTTAGTTAATAATAATGTACTGATATTGTTTCATTAACTGTGACGAATGTATCACACTAATGTAAACTGTTAATAAGGAGAACTTGCTGTGGGATATACGGAATTTCTCTGTTATCTTCACAATAATTCTGTAAATTTAAAACTGTTCTGAAATTGTTTATTTTTAAAACCTCCCATATCTGCCCCCATCTTGCCAATCTCACCTGAGGTCTAGCGTCTATTTCCTTACTGCTTCGCTTCCTTCCAGTCCGTTCTCCTGGCAGCCAGCAGAGGGCATTCTCTAAAACGCAAATCTAACCATATCTGAAGCCTTCCAGCAAAATAAAGGCGTTGGATGGAAAGTTCGGGAGGCATGGTATAAAAGACCGACTCGGATGTCTCAGTAAAAGTTATTGTGATCCAGAACAAATCTGGGAAATATTTCTGGCGCCCACTGAGATAAAATTTATGTACCTAAACAATATAACTCAGCCTTTCCAAGGTCTCCCGGATAAAGCTTTTCAGATGTCCAACTCCCTGCGTTTCCATCCTTTCGCACAGTTACGTAGTTAATTTCCCTTTGTTCTTCCTTTATCTCTATGGACACTCCTCTGCCTGAGCTATCTTTTCCCGTCTTCTCCCCCAAGCCCAGCTCCAGGGACTCTGTACCCGCTCCCAAAGACGAGAGCGCTCCTGCGTAATTGGGTTGTGATATCCGGACCGAAGTCTTTTTTTATTTTTATTAAACACGAATGAGGAAAATGGATTCCTTTGGCTCCGCACGGCCGTATCACTCTAGGCCCGAGGAAAGGTTTGACGCACTATAAATTAAAAGATGAATCACTGATAAATGATGTTCTACGGTGCAGGGTGTCTCTATGCGCATGCGCCTGAGGGGAAGGCGTGGGAAGCCCTTTGCTACCTGGCTGGGTCCGCTGCGGGCGCCAGGAGAGGGAGGGGCTTCCTCAGCCTCGCCCTGCCATTGGCCAGGATGGTCCGCATTGGTCTGACGCAACGTCTCTGCGGCCTGGCGGAGCCCGACCCCCACCCGCCGAACCCCCCGCAACTACCATGTTGCAGGCTACTGCGTAGGCCAGGTGGCTCCGTGTGGGCCTGGGGGAAACTGACCGGTGGGGCCAGCGCCCCTGGCGAAACAAAAGACTCGAAGCGACACTTTGAATTTGCTCAGAATTTTA